CTTCCTTCCTTCCTTCCTTCCTTCCTTCCTTCCTTCCTTCCTTCCTTCCTTCCTTCTTCCTTCCCTCCTTCCTTCCTTCCTTCCTTCCTAAGATTTTATCTATTTATTTGAAAGAGAGAGCATGAATGGGAGGGAGGGGCACAGGGAGAAGGAGAAGCAGACTCCCTGCTCAGCAGGGAGCCCCCCACACGGGGCTTGATCCCAGGACCCTGAGATCATGACCCCAGTGGAAGGCAGACGCTTAGCCGACTGAGCCACCCAGGCACCCCAGTATTTGGTTTTCAAATGTACTCACACGTAGTCTCTTGTTCTAGTTAAAAGTGCATAAACTGTCGACCTAAGCCATATCCCTCAAACATACCCAAGATGACCCCAAATGATCAGACAGTGGCCAAAGTGGAGGGATCACAAAGTATCATCTTTCTAGCTTCTGCCCCTTAATAGGTCCCTATCTAGCTCCTAGGGTACACCTCTGCCCTATTTCCTAAACTGACTCCCCCAGTGTCACTTTGATGTCTCAAGAAGAGCTAGAAATGTGCATATCCTGGGATAAGGATCTGCAGCCTATTCCTGGCCTATGGATTCTTACTCTATTGCTATAAAGAGGCTCCGGAGGCCTGAGAAAAAGATGGAAAGAAGGAATGTCATCCAAAAAGCCTTTATTCTCCCACTTGGTTCCTTTTCCAGAGCTTATACTCTCTAAGTTCTAGAACAGGGTTGGGGCAACAGTGCCAGGGAGGGGAGCCTCTGGGCCCATGCTCATGCAGTTGCTTTCCTCCCAGCTGGGTGTGAGCTAGGGCAGGATCAGGCGCTTGAGAACTCTTTGCCCAGCTTCCCGGTCACAAGCTGTGAGTGCCTCCCATAGGGGTTAGGCAAGGTGCTGCTGCAGGTGAGCCCACTCCCAGGGCTGTAAGGAAGGAGGAATTCCATTGTGAGACCAAGCAGAAGCATTAAGAAAATTCACTTAGGTTTCAACATTGTGGGTTCTTCCGAAGAGATGTCATGAATGAGGAGGCTCAGCTGTTCTCCAGGACCCAGCTCCTTGGGGGATTCCGCAGAGAACTGGCATCAGCCAAAGCAGACCCCAGGGGCTGGGTGCCTGGAGAGATGATGCCTTCCTTCATCGCCACAGGCAGCCCATCTTGGTTTCAAGGACGAAGGATTTAGATGTCTTCCCGGAGGTGTGTAGGTGAGCCCTGAGATAGATCTTGGGTGCCCTGGAAATTGTGTTGATACTGAGATGATGAAGGGAGTCTGTTCTCTGGGATAGACTATGAGGGACCCCAGTTTAGTCTGAGGCCCCAGGTCTGCATGGAATGCGTTCACCCAATTGTTCGTGGAAGCAGCCAGGCTGTCCAGGTGCCTTCTGCAAATGCAGGGGGTGGGGGCCGGGGGACTGGTTTTCTAAAATCAGGCCAAGCTCTTTGTTTTTCCCTCACTCCTTGTTCTTTTGTACTTCCTTCTACCCAGGGATCCTCCGAGGTCATGGAAGGAGAAGACAGAGGATGCTGGGCCTCCCTAGGGAGTAGCTGGGGTGAGTGGCTGGAAATTATAGAGGTAAGGGTAGCCCTCTGGACCGCTGAGGGGTCCCCATACTTTCCCTCTTCCAGAGGTTTCAAATGCTTGGCCAGGTCACCTCTGTAGCCTGATCCCGGGACTCAAGTGTGGGCACAGGGGTAGTCTGGGTCCTTGTTCTCTTCGGCGGGGTATCCGGCCCTCACGGATGTGGGGTCAGGAAGCAGAGTCACTGCTGGGATGTTGAGAACTTGGCCGTGGTCAGGACCAGATTTTTCCCAGCTCTGGCTGTTTTGGGGCAGGCCCCAGGCAGAAGATCTTGGGATCACTGTCTTGCCAGCCCCAGGAAGGAGATACAGCTGGAGAGGCTTCTGGGAACTTCTCTGATTACTTTTCCCTATGGCAGCAAAGCACCTAATGTCCCTGTCCTAGATGGAGAGATGAAGCTCACAGAGCACTTTGGGTAAGACAGGACTCCTGGGCTCCTTTCTCAGCTCTGTCCTAAATGCCGGCTCCTAGCTCGAAGGTCAGAGAGACACGGGAGGTCCCCCAAGTGTCCGTTTGGGGCTACTAGAGGAAGCAGAAGAATGGCCAGTGGTAAAGACCCAGAGTCTGGTCCCAGTCCTTGCTGATGCAGCTTCCGGTGACTGCCTGTGCCCCCTGAGGGGCACCCCTTCTCCAGGCCCATCCAAGGGGTCTCTCAGATCACAAGGCCCACTTTCCCAGACTCACCTGCCCAGGCCTGGGGGACTTTGGCACCTGGGGCTGGTGGAAGGCGCCAGGGCTCAGGGGCAGGGCTCCTCTGGCAGCTGGGCCGCATACAGGGCCAGTGTGTGATGCAGGAACTGGTACTGCTCCGTGGTCTGGATCATTCCGCCCCTGTGAGGGAAGCATGCAGACCGCAAGCAGAGGGGTCAGGCCAAACATCTTCATAGTTCACCGGGGAGATTCTCCCAAAGAACCCGTCAGCTACTTCATATGTTCCTCCTCTGGGCTTCTTACTCCTGTTTCCTGCCCCTCACACCTTCCCCACAAGGACAGCCTCTCGGCCCCATACTCAGGGCTGGGTCCCGTGGCTGGCTGTGCCGAGGAGGAGACAGCCCACACTGAAACTTGTTCTTCTCCAGCCCATCAGCTCCTGGGGCAGAATTGGGCCCCCGATCCCTCAGGCCGGACCAGGAATATTCCTGAGCCTCAAAGTTTCCTCCTCCCCATCTTAAATGTAAATATAATAATTCCATATATGTGTATAGTAGGTTCTTATATTCGAAAAACACATTCACAGTGATTTAACTCATTCCTTACAACAGCTGTCTGGGGGAAGGAGCCATTATTTCTGGATAAAGACGTGGGGGCCCAGAGAACTATCATGATAGCTCAGTGAGATACAAGGCAGAATTTGCATCCTGGGTCCCTCTCTCCAGATCCAGTGGGCTTCTGTGCATTATCTGTGTCTACCTAGTGTTTAGAACCAACCATCCCCTATTCCTCCACCTTTCCCTGAGTAGGGAATTTGGAAAAAACAAAACCAAAAAACATGTAAGATATCCACAGATACCCACAGAGTGGCATATTTCATTCTCGGCCCCCAAACTAAAATTCTAGATAGAGATTCTTTCCTGGGTGTTAGGTGCAAAAGAAACAGCTCTTTAAGCCGAGGGCCCCTTCCTTTCTCGAGGGAGGTGCTTGATGGTGATGTGCCTGTAAGTGCTCTGGAGCTCAGGAAGCACGGAGGCTACTCCTCACTGGTGTTGGTCCCGTCCACATCCGTAGACCCACCTGTCCAGCCGCAGTTGGCACACGATGCCCAGAATGTCCACTTCCCCGCGGGCCTTCAGCTGTTGACAGCCAATTCGGGTGGCGATGAAGCAGCCAGTCCGGCCAATCCCTGCACTGGACACAGCCAGGGAGGGGACAGGGAGGTCACAGGAGACTGGGGAATATGGGGGCCAGGCGAGTGGGGAACATGGGAGACAGGTGACCCGGGAACATGGGGGCCAGGCCTCAAACTGCAGAGAAAGTCGTAGGGCACTCTGTTTTAGGGGTGGGGACATGAGGCTGGAGGAAGGCCGCAGTACCCTCGCAGGTTAGAGCTGGCGCTTGAGGAGGTTACATTTCCTACTAGCCTCGCCCTAAACCTTTCCCAGGTCCCCCTCCAGGCCCCGTGGACATTTCGAGGAGCTGTCTTCTGCTTTAGCAGCAGGAAGTGGTTTCCAGCTATCAGTGCTTACCGGGCTTGCGGAGCCCCTGTGACCTCCTCCGTCACCACGGCTGCGGACACTCAGCCCCCTTTTCCCACCTTGAGTCCTTCCCACAGCTGGCCCTCCACTCTGCTCTGTCTTGCTCTTTATTTCAAAACCTTCTCATCCTCCCTCTTTAGGAAGACTCGTCCGAACTCTTGATAGAAGCCACACAGGACTTCTCAGCACTTAATGTCCAGGTGCCACCTTCGGGGAGGGGGCTCATGAATCCCCTCTGTCTGTACTTTTTTTTTTTTAAAGAAGATTTTATTTATTTGTCAGAGAGAAGGGGAGAGAAAGAGTGGCAGAGGGAGAAGCCGCCTCCCTGCTGAGCAGGGAGCCCGATGCGGGGCTTGATCCCAGGACCCTGGGATCATGACCTGAGCCCAAGGCAGACGCTTAACGACTGAGCCACCCAGGCGTCCCGCCTCTGTCCATACTTTTGCCACTATGTTCTTTTTAGGGTGTGCACTCCCAAATGGTTTCCTTATTGTAAGCTTGTCCCCTGTGTTACCCCGGACTCCATCGCAATCAGATTCTTATTCTGTAGCCCAAGTATTCCTTTGGCTAAATCCAAGTTTCTTAGTCAGTCCTATGAGGCCTCGGGCCTTCCAGACTCATCTCTTATCACTCTCCTCCCCTCCCCCACTTGACCTCCAGGCCCCCATCCCCATCCTCTAAGTCTACTCCCCACAATGTGTCCATTTAAAAATGTCATCTAGGGGCACCTGGGTGGCTCAGTCGGTGAAGCGTCTGCCTTCAGCTCAGGTCATGATCCCAGGGTCCTGGGATCGAGTCCCACATCGGGCTCAGCGGGGAGCGTGCTTCTTCCTCTGCCTGCCTCTCCCCCTGCTTGTGCTCACTCTCTCTCATTCTCTATCAAATAAATAAATAAAATCTTTAAAATAAAAATGTCATCGAGGGGCCTTTGCACACACTATACTATCTGTCTGGAATGCTTCCCCTTTCCACTCTTCACTTGGCTAATTCACCTCTCAGGTTGTCACTTGGTTTAAATGTCCTTTCTCCTGGAAAACTGTCTCTGGCCAAATTCTGAGACGAGCGACTTGGTTCTATGCCCCCAGACACTGCCGTCATAGCCCTTGTCATACTGCGAGCCTGTCAGGGCAGAAACCAAACTGTCTCCCTAGCATCTATCACTCTGCCTGACAATAACAGGTTTTCAATAAGCATTTGCTGAGTAACCGACTTTCTCAACAGCAGGGACCATGTTTACCTCCCACCCCAGCAGACTGGGAAGCTTTCTGACAGTCTTTCCCCTCTCCGGCTTGTGCCTGAATGTCCGGCCCACGGGGCCAGGTTCTGCATGAAGGAGAGAATAAGCGCAGGGCACTTTGCTGAGTGACCTAGGGATTCCCATCCTGGGAAGAATTGGGCCTGCCTGATGCTGTCCTTCCTGGACCCTTTCCAAGGAGAGACCCAGTGGCAAGGGAAGAGGGGCCTGCGTCAAGGCTGCCAGGGAGGGCAGGGTGCATACCTGCAGTGGACCACGATGGGCCCAGTGTTGGCAGCTGTCTCTGGGCTCTCCTCCACCTCGGCCACCAGGCGCAGCAGGGGCCCAGCCGATTCTGGGGTCTGGTGGTCAGGCCAGGCGGAGAAGAGGACATGCTTCACTCCCCGGCACTCCTCCTGGTGCTGGCAGAGGGACAAGGCATGAGAACCAGGGTCAGGGGAGGGGGCAGTGCCAGCCTTCTCTGGGGCCAGAGGAGGTCAAGGCTAGAATGACTCCATGACACAGTCTGGGACCCCGAGCAGGCAAGGTCAGCTCTCCCTTCTCCTGCTCATCAGACTCCACAATTCCCTCCTCTGAAATGCTGGCAGGAATGCCGTCCAGGGAGGAGAGAAAGACCCAAGTTCAAGTCCTGGCTCTGGCTCTGCCTCTTACTAGCACATGACTTTGGGCAAAGTCCCTTAACCTCATTCTCTTCACTTAGAAAAAGGAGACAGTGATATCTTATTGGTTTGCTTCCCTGGATGCTTGGAGGATAAGGAGTTGATAGAGAAATGCTTGCTATAAATCAAATGCTAAATCAAATGCTATATGATAATAGAAGGCATTTTAAAGCACTTCACATGTGTTATCATACATCTCTCTGGACTTCCTGGGGCTCCTTCAGCATGACTCCGGGACCCCACCTCTCCTTTCCTGGCCCATTCAGCACAGAGGGACAGGCCTTCCCGGTGGCTCCTGCTTGGTTTGTTGGCTCTGCCCTATTAAACCAGGGCAGTACCCATGTTTCTCTTTCTTCTGTGCCTCAAGCTCTTCTTTTAGATGTGTGTTCAAGAAGGTTTAGATGAGTCAACCCCCGGCTCCCAGTGAAGATTGGGCCTGTGTTTCAGGGATGCTGGAGGTGGTCTGAGTTCCCTGTACCTGGATGGTGAGCTGCCGCACAGTGTACTCTGGACACTCTTTTGTGTCTTGGATGCGGAGCCGGAAGGGTCCGTAGGTTTCCTCTTCTGTGGGCCAGTAGTGGACACATTTCTAGGAGGGAGGGAGCTGGGAGTCAGAAGGGGGAAGTGTCTATCAGCCGGAGCAGGGGCCAGCACAGAAGAAAGGGGAGTGGGGTCCCCTCCCAATTTCCCACCACGCTGCTGGAGGGGCTGCGCACTGTGCTTCACATCTGCTCTGTTTTCTCGGTTGGTGGCTTGGCACCTGGGGCAGGCTCTCCTGAGCTTGGCATGTGCGGGTGAAGTGCGCACCCTGTCTGCCATTCTAGCTGTGGATAGCCCCCATGGCATATAGCTCAGAAACTTTTCTAGAAGTGCAAGCTGGGCCTGGCTATAGGTATTGTCAACTCCCAGGGGAGCCCTTAGTCCTGAGCTGCCCTGAGTAGGGGCATGTGTGGTGGGATAAGATGTAGCCCTTTCTGGGTTCACTGAGGACTGTGGCTCCTACCTCCTTGCCCTCTCGGAGCTGAGTGAGCATGACAATTAGTGACACTTCTTCCTGCCACACCATCTCCCAGAAGTCCGACACAGTGTTGGGCATGGGGCCCTGGGTCGCAATGTAGACCTTCTGCTGCCCATCGTAGCCCTGGGGAGGTGGATGCACAAAAAGAAGGGTAGGAAGCAGTGAGTTAGTTCTCTGGGGGAATCCCGGACTCTGCAGGTCCTGGGATCAGGCCACAGCCACTGAACGTGCACAGAGAGACACACACGTGTGTGCACTGGAAGCCACATGGTGGAGAGGACAGAGGTTCTGGGGGAGGAACACGTGGGTTCAAATCCCTGTTCTGCTGCTTACTGGCTATGACACCGTAAGCAGGTTACCTAGCCTCCGTAAGCCTCAACTTTGTCATCTGTAAATTGGGCATAATACCTAACTTGCAGGAATATAATACAGATTACATTCCACAAAGCATACGGAGAGGCTAGCACATACCAAATACTTTGTCCATGTGTGTCCCCTTCCTCCCCTGCTGCTTTCTACTAGCACAAAATAAGAAAACAGTGTTCAACATTGGTGGAGTGAATGTTTCACTTTTATGTATTACTTGTATATATTTAGTAGCAAGATGTAGCACACTCTTGCTGACCCCTTCCTCTCCCCTTTAGAATCTCAGCTCCTCAAGGTGAGGAAATCCAGACAGACCACCGTTCACCACCGTTCACCAAGTTTCTGTGGCAAACAGATGCGGCAAAGAGATCTTTCCTCTCCCGGCCTTGGCTAACAGCTTTCCACCTCTTGGCACCTGGGACCACTGTCCTACCCACTTTGAGCCACTAGGAGGCGCTGCTTTTACATCTACTTAGGGCCAGTAGAGGTGGGAAGCTGGGGTAGAGAGGCCACCTTGCCTCCCTGGCTCCTATAGTTTGATGTTAAACTATTTCTACCAAGGAGGGGCTGCTTTAGGGAGCACTTAAGCCTAGGGAGAGAGAAAAGCTGAGAGCTCCTATTTGTGCGAGCACCTTCCAAGCAGAGCTAAGAGGGATGAGCCCCGGGGAGGGGGTATGCGGGAGTGGATTCAACAATGCAGTTTCCTCCCTGTGTAGAAGGTGGGCAGGGATGAAGTGATAGCATGCATGAAGGAGACTGGCTGGTATCTTCTCAGCTTAACATCTGCTCTGTTTTCTCGGTTGGTGGCTCGGGGCCTCTTCAGTGTCTGCCCCAGCTTGGCAGCTGTGATTTGGAGCAGGAATTCACAGCTGGAAGACGTTCTCTGGGGACAGATGTCTTCAAAGACAGCCCCCCTGCCCCTGCACCCCCATTCCCTGCAGGGCAGCCTCAGCCAGGCCACTCACTCGGATGTAGTTGGCGTTGATGTAGTCTCCGTCTTCTTGGCTCTGTGCCCGGCCTAGACAGACGCGGCTCTGGGGATCTAGGAGGTAAAAATCAGCAGAGGTCAAAGGTCAAAAGGGGACCAACTAATGCACATGCCAACAAGGTCAGGAAGAGGTGAGTTCCTGTGCTTATCACAGTGTCTCTGGTATAGCAGGTGGCCAGAGACCCACTAAATTATTTTATATGTGGACAATGGGGAGCCACAGAATGTTTCGGAGCAGTGGAGTGACACTATCAAAGGAATACTGGGGAAGGTTAACTGGGTGGTGCCATGTAGGACAGACTGTTGAGGAAAGGGAGTGGAGCCGCAGGGGCCTGATGGGCCGTGAGTGAGATAGTCTAGCCTTGAGATTGGTAAGGGTGTGAAGCAGGATTGTACCAAAATAGAAAAAGAGATGTCATGGAGAAAGAGTTTGTTTCTGACGGTGAATATGTGGATACGGGATTTGGATGAGTGACTTGCCTAAAATCCCACAATGGGGAAGCAGGACCAGAACTCCGGCTTCATTCCTCTACTGGGCGTGTCAGCCTGTCCCTCGAAGGGGGAAGGCTTTCTCCAAATCCAATCCAAGCAGGGACAGAGAACCTAGCCTGTGAGGAAAGGAGACTAGCTCTCCTGGTGCTGGCCTGGTTCTGGACAGAGGGGGATTGCAGGCAGAGGGATCTCTCTCTCTCTCTCTCTCTCTCTCTCTCTCTCTCTCTCTCTCTCTCTCGCCAGCTGGTTAGACTTCGCCCGAGAACAAGGGCTGCTCCCTCCCTCTCACTTCGATGCTGAGTGCTGACCCACCCCTGCGGGCAGAGGGCTGGAACCACAGGAGCTGGTGGTGAGCTAAGGCCTCAAGACTGGGAATTGCTGGAGGTGGGTTGGCCAGACAAGGCTGCTCCGAGTGGGGGGAGGGAGAGAATCTGTGAGGGTCTCACGCTTGCCTCTGAAAGGTGGGAGGTGCTGATCCCTGGGTCCTCTGAGCTTGAGGGGTTAACCCCTTACAGCCCCTGGACTCCCATCTCCAAACCTGTCACTGCTCTCTTGCGGGTGCCCTGCATCTGAGCTGCTCAAAGCCCTCCCTCTGGGAGCCATCCTGATGGTGCCTTTCCCGCTACAGACCTCTGCTGGGCGTTTCCCACAGCGGAGGAAGAGCCCAAAGAAGCTGTGATCTTGGCCAAGTTAGGCAACCTTTCTGTGACTCCGCTGCCTTGTTTGTAAAACGGGAGTAATGATAGCATCGCGTCAACTTCATGGGGTCATTTTGAGAAATGAGTTAACATCAGGGGCTCCCAGCACTGCCTGGCCCACAGTAAGCTTCTGCAAATGCGAGTTGCCGTGTTCTTACTGTGGTTATGGTTCTCGCTCCTCCTTCCCCCAGCCAGGGCAAGGCGTTGGTATTTCTCTGCTGAAAGCAGGTGCCCCGGATAAGCGAGCTCCTCCCTGGCTGAGGCTGTGTGTCTTGCCTTCTGAACCTGTCCAGCCCCAGGGACAGCACCACCTCCCTTGATGCCTGCCACAGTTCTTACTTGGCAAGATGGTCTTATATCGGTCCTTGGAGGCGTGGCCAGGAATATCCAGGTCTTCGGGGTTGACAAAGTTCGAGGGGATCTTCTGGCAGAGGGAGGAAGTGAGTGAATAGCCGATACTTCTTCCCAGCCTTTCCCCCCCCTTTCCCCACCCCGATCTACTGGAGCTGGTCCTGGCTGTTTCCTCCTGGCTTTAGTAGGGTCTGGATGGGGTGGAGGGCAGAAGGGGGAGCAGGGGGTGATGTTCTCTTCCGGCACTGGGGTTCTCATCAATCCTGAGGGCCCAAAGAAGAGACATACCCGCAGTGCCCAACATAGTATGGTGCTCTCTGGCTGTCTGTGATTCAGAAGGGGCAGAGTGACTCGGAGGGGACCCCAAGTTCTTACCAAGAATTCCTCTTCCAGCTGCTTGGGGCTGGGTGGCTGGTGCTGCAGGGCCCAGCGGGTGAGGGGGTGTCCAGCTGTGCGCAGAAAGTGTAGGGTGACCTCCCGGGGTGTGTTCACCGAGCAAATGGGTTCCACAGCCCCCAGGGACCGCACATCCAGCATCAAAGCAACATTGGAGCCCCGCCTGCAGGCACAGGCAACCAGCGCCCAGTGAGCGCCCAGGAGCATGAGCTGCTCTAGCTATTCTTACTGTTACAGGGTACGTGTGAGGAGGCTGCTCCTTGTCTTGCCCTGGACCCAGAGGCCCAGGAGATTCAAGGGTTCAGGCCCCTGCTATATGGCCTTTTTTTTTGTCAGTCAGATCAGGGCAGCCTTGATCCTCCAGCTGCCCACCTCTACCCATTCCTTCCAGGCCCCTAAAGCTCAGACCCTACATCCGGACCCAAGACAGCCCTGCTCCAGGGGCTGCTCAGCCCAACTTAGGGTTCGGGGCGCAGGCACAAAGTTGACGTGAAACTTTATACCCCAGCCATGCAAATGCCATGCAAATACCATGCAAATGAACACATTGGGATTTTCCTTTCCAGATTGGAGTCAACAGCTGAGGACCCTCTGGACCCAGCTGTCAGAGCTGGAGGGGGCAGATGGAGGGAACCGGGCAGGGTCTCAGGGCTGGGAAGGCCCCCCTCTCCCAGGAAAGATCTCACCTCTCCTGCAGCCGCACATGCTTCTTGGCCGGTGCCTTGGTGGGTGGAGGCTGGGTCATGGCTGCCCCCAAAGACCAGGTCGGCAGCTGTGCTCTGGAGCACCCCCCACGGTCTTGGACCATGCTGGGGTGGGGTGCAGGGCCCAGGGGAGGCTCACTCAGCCATGAGGTTTGCCTGAAAGACAGGGCCCCTCAGCAGCTGACCTCTGGCCTGTCCGACTGGCCGGGAGAAGGCCCCCAAGCCCAGGCCAGCTGCCTGCTTTCCAGCACCTCTGTTTTCACTGGGGTGTCTTCTGCTTTCCGAGCAGAGCTGTCATTGTCACTGCGGGAAGGCCGGGATCCCTACAAGGGGACCCAGGGTGGTAGGCAGTCTGGGGTTGGGGTAGGGGCCAGACAAGGCATAGAGATTGGGTGGAGGGGGGTGGCAGGAAAGACTCCAGAGGGAGGGAGAGAGGGGAGAAGCGGCTGCCTGAGGCCAGAGCAGAGAGGGCTCTCAGCTGGGGCCCAGGTGCGAGAAGGCAAGGGAGGAAACAAACGACGTGTTCTGTGTAGAAGGGAGAGAGAAAGCTCACAGAAACCACCTCTAGTCCAGGCCTTCTCTGAAATGAGAGGGTTGAGGCCTCGCGCAGCATTGGAGCCAGTTGGGGACCCTTGTAGACCCTGTCCTAACTGCTGGCAGTGCCCAAGTTCATTCTGGCTTCTGGGGTCTCTGTCCAGGGAGGTAGGCTGGGGGGGGGTGTTTCCTTCCTCCTCTGCCCATCCCCCCATCTCCCGCCTCTGTAACCGTCACAGGAAATGGCCTCACCAAACCCTTAAGCAGCAGTGCATGGTGAGGCGACAGCTGGGGGCACAAGAGGGGGCATTGAGGTGGTGGGGCCCGTGTCCTCTTGGGGGACAGTCCCTATCTTCCAGAGCCAGTTCACAGCTTCCGAGGGGTGGGGGCGGTGTGAGAGTCGCTAAGCCCGCAGGGAGGCACAGAGGTGAGGGGACAGAGTGGGCCCCGTGCAGATGTGGGTGGTAGAGAGAAGCTCTCACGAAGCAGGCAGGGGGTGGTTGGCCTTTGCTGTCCTTGCAGCCCCCCTGCGGCTCCCCTGGCCCGTGTCCCTCGGGGATATCAGCTAGGTCAGCGCCCATTCCCCAGCCAGGCCCTACAGCTCCCAGTGCAGCCTCGCTCACACCCGCCTTGGAGATGCCTTCCCACCTCCCCAGGGCTCACACCACCCCAGGACCACAGGGCCCCTCCTCCCCCCATTCAGGTACTTACTGAAGCAGCTGTGTCCCCCAGGCTGCCTCTTACCAGCTGTCTGTCTGTCTGTTGGTCTCTCTTTGAGGGCTGAGGAGGCTTCAGGAAGCCAGCTTCCTCCCTCTGCCCCTCCTTGCTGCCACCCACGCACACCCCAGCGGCGTGCTGCCCTCCTGCGCCTGCTGCCACCACCAGGGGTCGGGTGCCTCTTGCCTGTGCCCCTCTGGGGGTGGCCTGGCTGTGGCCCAGCACTTTTGCCATGGGCCTAAGGCCCTGCTCTGTGGGGATGGAGAGGGAGGGGCCGGCCTGTTCCTGACCACCCTGGCTCCCCTAGCTCCCAAACCCCCTTGCTCCCTGGACTCTTGTCCTCTGGGTATTTGTCACACCCAGTCTCTGTCTGCTTACCAGGCAGAGCTCAGCTGACCCCCAGCTCCATGCTGTCCCACACAGAAACCCCAAGTTGTTCCTGCTCAAGTTGGCCCTGTCCAGAGACTGACTTCTGCTCCTCTGCTTCTGCCTCAAAGCCCTGGTCCTGGAAGCCCTTGCCCCTTCAAGCCTTGTGAGTTCATGGTCAGGTCCAGGTTGCACCTTCTCAAAGCAGAGGTGGGTGCAGACGTGGGGTGGGGTGAGGGAAGAAGGAGGCAGGAATCCTTGCTCCACGATGGGGAAGAAAGTCCCAGGCCGGACCAGAAGGGTCATCCCCAGAACTTGAGCCACACCCCAGCTGTCAGCTACCTGTGGTTGGAGATGGACCAGCCAGCCAGGAAGTAGGTAGTAGAGACAGCTTGTAGGAGAGTCTGGGGCGCTTTCTCCCTGCCCCCAGCCCCTCCAGGCTTCCTCCCAGAATCCCGACATCTATTTAGAAGACTTACAGATAGCGGACAGTCTCTGGCCCTCACACCGGGGGGACTCCTGCGTCTTCTTCGCTTCTGGGGTGCTTGGATGCCTGGGGCCTAGAAAGTGGCCCCCGCGTCCAAGACTCCACTGCCCCCCACCCCTGCCTCGCCTCGGCAGGCCCCTTGCTGGCCAGCAGCCCGGCCGGTTCATGCTCGCGGCACAGCTTCTTCTACCTTGTAACATTCCAAACACCCTTCCCTTCCCGGCCCCAACACGCGCAATCCCCATCCTCTCTCTTCCTCCCACTTCTCTGATTCAGCTGTCAAATGGTGACAGCAAAAAAGAAATGATTTACAATAGACACAGGGGGTGCGCACACGGGCGGGGTGGTGGGGAGGGTGCTGGCCTCGGCTGCTGGCCCGTGGCGGGAGGAGGGGTGGGACGAAGGCCAGGATGACCCTTTGGAGCTCGGGAGGCCTCCCAGTGCCTGTTGTTGCTTCTGGAAGTTGAGGGGGGGACCAGGCGCCGGGTCCTTTCTGAGCCCTTCCTGGGCCAGCTGGTCCTGGACCCTTCTTCACTCTGGGGAGTGGGTGGTTTCCCTGAAAGGAGGGGCTGGAGTAGTAGTCAGCCCTGGTACCCAGAACAGGCTGGAGGTGGGTGCAGGATAGCCTGGGAATCCCTGGTAAATCAGTGGGAAGTGACCTGAGGCTGGCTTCTGCCTCAACGGCTCCCCCAAACCCACCAGTATCTCCACAGATGGATCGTGGGGCCCTCGGGATCAAAGAAAGGGGCAGGAGGGGATCAGAAAGAGAGCCACCCCCGTGGGGCCAAGCTGTTGATTGTTATCAAGAACAGGAAGCTAGGATACCACAGGGGTGGGGAGGAGGAAGCAGGCAAAGCCTTCCCCCCACTGGTCCACCAGTGCCTCCAGGTTTCTACTAGGTTTCCAGGGTCTGAGCCCCATGGTGGGCCGTGAGCACACCCTCTAACCTCCCAAGGCTGGGCCCGGCAGCAGTTTGAGGAGCAGGAAGCTGAGCTCTTGGGTGAAGAGCAAGGAAGCTGGGGGCCAGGAGATGGGAGAGGTAGTTGGGGGTGGGGGTGGAGGCAATGGCATTAGGCAAGACCCTGAGGATCTCTCAGTTCCCTTTGGGTGTGTTTGGGGTTGGGGGGATATAGTCACTCCTTTCCTCCTGCCCCCTCTCTCCCTTCTGCTTAGAAATGCCTGGACATCCATGGGGGTGTGGGGCTAGAGCTCAGGAGGGGTGAGCGCACCACCCACGAGCCGCGGATGGGACAAGATGCCCTGCAGCAGCTCCTCCCCAGACTGGCCAGGCTGCTGGAATGGGGGAAGGCCCAGGGTTCCCTGGAAGTGACTCCTCCGCCCCCAGAACCTTCCTAATTCCTGGGGTGGAACAGCCCCAGACGGCGCTCGAGCCTTCATCTTTCCAGTAGCTGATTTGCCTTCCAGAGCTGGGATTTAGGTTCTGGCCACCCTGGACTCCAAAAAAAGCACGGCAACAGTTGAAAGCCAAAAAGACCCACGTGCAATGAATCTAAACTGTGGCCCACTAGCTGTGTGACCCTGGGTGAGTTACTGAATCTCCCTGAGGCTCAGTCTCCACATCAGGCTCCTCCCTTCCCAGGTGGAGGGTCCTGGCACCTCTCTGATCCATCAAATGGGGCTGGGCCTCTGAAGGGCTCAGGAGCTGTCAGCTGGAGAAGCCGGCCAGCGGAGGGGGCCGGGGGAGTATGTTCTAGAGGGAAGATCCATGTCCCCTCTCTCCCAGACCCTCTTCCTCCTGACTGCTCCTTTTCTCCAGCTAGTCTGCAGGGACAGAGCTGCCTGGGCACATGCCCCCCTCCTCTCGCCATTCCCCAATCCCAGGGCTGCCAGTCACCACTTGCTGTCCCCAGTGTCAGAAGCCCCTTGGAGGGGCAGCTGTGTCTGGAATTCCCAGAGGTTCTTGCTCCCTGGCAGCACCTGGGGAGCAGGCCGAGCTGCTGCAAGCTCCAGAGTCAAAGCCTGCCATCCTGTAAAACTCCCAAGGGGAGGATCTTGGGCCCGGGGCCTGCTGCTGGGGGCCAGGACTCTGGGGTCCTGCACACTCCACATGTCTTGCTCCCCTCCCTAGCCCTCTTCATTCCTCTCTCAAGCCCTAGGATCATAGGTCCTCCCCGACACCGCCCCCAAATCCTGGGCCAGCCTAGGCCTGCTTCTGCCCCAGTGTTACAGGCTCCTGCTTGCCCCTGGCTGTGTGGGGGAGACAGAGATGCAGTGAGCTAGGAGCTGGGAGGCCTCATCCCAGGAGAAGCAGGGAGGCACTGCAGGAGAGACGAGTGGGGCAGGCTATCGCTGTTAGGCGGTGTGGCAGTGATCTGGGCCCGCTGGTGTGAAGTCTGAAGCAAGAGGGAGACCCACCGGGCCTGTCCCGGGGCCCTGCCTCTGTGCTGGCCATCCGGAAGCTCATCCCCCGCCTGACCCACTTTCCCTGACACATTTTGGGGACCTGTTGGTGAAGGGGACTTTCCCATACCCCACGCCCCCGAAGGACCAGTGATTCCGGCCAGCTCAGCACCTGGGGAGCCAAGGCCGGCCTGCCTGAGATGCAGGAAAGAGCCCCATTCTTTGCCCGCTTGCTGGAACTCAGGTCCCTTGTAGGAGGCACGCTAGGACGGGAGAGAGTCCCTCCCTCTCTCCCAAGGCCAGAGCTGGTGAGATGGACATCTATTGTACGACATGGTCCTTTCTTCCAGGGACCTTCCTGTCCCTCTCCCCCTCCACAATGTCCCTGGACACCCCCATGTACACGCAGATGCCCACACATGCACATTCATCCAGATAGGTATGTGCACCCTCACGGCTCATGCACACACGCGTGCACACAGCGTGTCCTTCCACACACGTGCCCGTGCCGCCGGCGCACCCGTGCACACCGTCACCAATCCGCTGCCTCCAGCCCCTTGCTGCCTTCCCACAGCCTGGTCAGGGGAATCTAGGTCTGCCCCTCCCTGGTGACCTTCCCCAGGGCGTGGGAGGAAGAGTGGGAGACTTGGCTGTCCGGATCCATCCTACCCCTCTCTTGCCTGGTGATTGGCTTCCCCTGGTGTGGGGGTGCCCAAGGCCTAGCTGCAGGCCGTGGGAGCGGAGGGGGAGGACCGGAAGGGAACCATGTGGGGCAGCCGCGGGGAGAGACCGGGCTGGCTCACATTTGGGAATCAGGATGCCTAGACCTGTCTCTTGCCCTCCTCTGCCTCCTGGCTGGCTCTTTCCAGAAGGAATCAGTAAGGTGCTTTGAGACCTCAGGAGGACCCCGGGGGTTCTCTAGGGAGAGGATGTGGGTTTGTCTGTGGGAGTGGTTGCTGGGCAGGAGACACAGCACTTGTGGTACTTTTTTGCTGAATGGAGAGGGTTGGGCTGGGGAGGCTGCATCTTATGGGTCAGATCCTCTCTACCCCCTTTCTGGAGCCCCCCCTTCCATCAGCAAGGCTGGCAGGGGGCCTGGCAGATGTGCCTTCTATGGCCAGGTGCCTCCTCCTGGACTGTCCACAGAGTCCAGCTACGGAGTCTATGCTGTCCCCAGCAGGCTCCTGTTTTGTGGGGCCTCTCAGGCAGGGTTTGAGATCCGCCCCCCTTACCTACAACCGTGTCTTGCCACAGCTCTTCAACTAGATTCTGAATTAGGATGTTTCCACCCCACTTCTCCCCTGTTGCTGCTGCTGACTGAGACTCTGCTAGAAAGAGCAGAGTGAGGTGCCCCAGGTGAGGTGGGATGGGGGAGGGGAGCAGGGGAGGATGTTTCCCCCACCTCTTGGCCAGACGGGGACGGGGACCTTGTTCTTTTGTATCAGCTTCCCCAGTTGCTCTCTGCATGCCCCCCCGCCCCGCTCCCCTTTGAAAGAACACATGCGTGCATGTACACACACACACACACACACACACACACACGCACGCACATGCACACGCAGCCTGGAAAATCTGATGAGTCTGCAGTGCTCAGTTTCCAGGCCCCTGTCCAGAGGCCGGGTGGGTGGCTCTGAGGTTTGGGGCTGGGTGGAGTGGGGGAAGGGCAGGGAGCAGCCCCTGGCTCTGAACTGAGCTGGAGCGAGGCTGAGCGGGTTTCTATGCAGGCCTGTCCTCCCTGCTGGGGCTGGCCCCTGAGAGCCTGGCTCCCAGGAAGGGGTCCTGGTGTTCAGTTTCTATACCTGCCTGTTGTCTGCTTATTCCTTCTCCCCACTTCCTGAGTTAGTGCCTGAGTCCTGGGCTTCTTTCCCGGGGCCCAGAGCCATTTCTTCCTTCTGGTCTCCCTCCCCTCCCCGCCTCTCCCCGCCCCTCCCCACCGTCAGCTGTCATGGGGTGGGGACACCTGGATGCAGTTCCAGGTGAGCAGCAGGCTTTAGGCTGGGGTGAAGCAGCCTTGCTTCTAGGCCAAGCCTCAGGGAAGCTCCCCTGGGCCTTCAC